CTCGAGAGCCGCGAATCATCATACTGCTTGAGCAAAAGATAGCGTGATTACCACACAAACCGTCAGAATCCTACTCGATTGCGGCACTTGGTCAACATGAGTTTGCAAGATTGGAATAAGATAATGTGATCGTTTTTGCACCAGTTGACGGCGACACCGTTCAGCGTTTCAGCGTCGTAGCATTCAGAAACATAGGAAGAAAGGATGTAACCTTCTTTAGTGGACCTGTAGTCCGAATAAAGCCTTCTTTTTAGAAGACGTCGAAGTTGTTCGCTCAGCGGCATCGATATTATTTTGGTAGTCGGCCAGTCAAAATGGGAGAATGTCTCTCGTCTTGGCCTCAGCATAAGCGAATACATAGTCAATCATATTTAGTTGTGAACAGAAAATTCGTGATTCTTTATTTGAGAATTTGCTGGTTTGAATGATGGTAAACTCTGTACTGCGCGATCGTTGGTCAAAGAGGTAGTGCTTTCGCTATCGACATTGATACGGAAAAGTCGATGTACCACTTGAAGAAGAACATTTAGGCGGAAAAGATGAACGCCTTAAACCACTTTGATGCGGATCAGCTGCAGCTTTTTCTGACGATGAGGGGCAGCGTCTGGCTGGTCTCCATCACTGAAGACGATAAGAAACTCAAGGAGGGGATGACGACTCCTTCTTTCAAAGAGTTAATGAAAAAGGACCTAGAGCTGGAGGGGAAAATATAATTGCTGAGTTCCTCAAAAATGTAAACACTCCAAAAGCAAAAGAAAAATACGTGTTGCTCTTTGTTCGAAGCCAGGGGCAACAGTTGCAAGCTCAAATTGTCCATTGTTCAGTACGTATGCGAGAATCCAGTACTCGAGAGCCGCGAATCATCATACTGCTTGAGCAAAAGATAGCGTGATTACCACACAAACCATCAGAATCCTACTCGATTGCGGCACTTGGTCAACATGAGTTTGCAAGATTGGAATAAGATAACGTGATCGTTTTTGCACCAGTTGACGGCGACACCGTTCAGCGTTTCAGCGTCGTAGCAATCAGAAACATAGGAAGAAAGGATGTAACCTTCTTTAGTGGACCTGTAGTCCGAATAAAGCCTTCTTTTTAGAAGACGTCGAAGTTGTTCGCTCAGCGGCATCGATATTATTTTGGTAGTCGGCCAGTCAAAATGGGAGAATGTCTCTCGTCTTGGCCTCAGCATAAGCGAATACATAGTCAATCATATTTAGTTGTGAACAGAAAATTCGTGATTCTTTATTTGAGAATTTGCTGGTTTGAATGATGGTAAACTCTGTACTGCGCGATCGTTGGTCAAAGAGGTAGTGCTTTCGCTATCGACATTGATACGGAAAAGTCGATGTACCACTTGAAGAAGAACATTTAGGCGGAAAAGATGAACGCCTTAAACCACTTTAATGCGGATCAGCTGCAGCTTTTTTCTGACGATGAGGGGCAGCGTCTGGCTGGTCTCCATCACTGAAGACGATAAGAAACTCAAGGAGGGGATGACGACTCCTTCTTTCAAAGAGTTAATGAAAAAGGACCTAGAGCTGGAGGGGAAAATATAATTGCTGAGTTCCTCAAAAATGTAAACACTCCAAAAGCAAAAGAAAAATACGTGTTGCTCTTTGTTCGAAGCCAGGGGCAACAGTTGCAAGCTCAAATTGTCCATTGTTCAGTATGTATGCGAGAAGCCAGTACTCGAGAGCCGCGAATCATCATACTGCTTGAGCAAAAGATAGCGTGATTACCACACAAACCGTCAGAATCCTACTCGATTGCGGCACTTGGTCAACATGAGTTTGCAAGATTGGAATAAGATAATGTGATCGTTTTTGCACCAGTTGACGGCGACACCGTTCAGCGTTTCAGCGTCGTAGCATTCAGAAACATAGGAAGAAAGGATGTAACCTTCTTTAGTGGACCTGTAGTCCGAATAAAGCCTTCTTTTTAGAAGACGTCGAAGTTGTTCGCTCAGCGGCATCGATATTATTTGTTAGTCGGCCAGTCAAAATGGGAGAATGTCTCTCGTCTTGGCCTCAGCATAAGCGAATACATAGTCAATCATATTTAGTTGTGAACAGAAAATTCGTGATTCTTTATTTGAGAATTTGCTGGTTTGAATGATGGTAAACTCTGTACTGCGCGATCGTTGGTCAAAGAGGTAGTGCTTTCGCTATCGACATTGATACGGAAAAGTCGATGTACCACTTGAAGAAGAACATTTAGGCGGAAAAGATGAACGCCTTAAACCACTTTGATGCGGATCAGCTGCAGCTTTTTCTGACGATGAGGGGCAGCGTCTGGCTGGTCTCCATCACTGAAGACGATAAGAAACTCAAGGAGGGGATGACGACTCCTTCTTTCAAAGAGTTAATGAAAAAGGACCTAGAGCTGGAGGGGAAAATATAATTGCTGAGTTCCTCAAAAATGTAAACACTCCAAAAGCAAAAGAAAAATACGTGTTGCTCTTTGTTCGAAGCCAGGGGCAACAGTTGCAAGCTCAAATTGTCCATTGTTCAATATGTATGCGAGAAGCCAGTACTCGAGAGCCGCGAATCATCATACTGCTTGAGCAAAAGATAGCGTGATTACCACACAAACCGTCAGAATCCTACTCGATTGCGGCACTTGGTCAACATGAGTTTGCAAGATTGGAAAAAGATAAGTGATCGTTTTTGCACCAGTTAAGGACGGAGTAATATTCTAATCAGAGTTATGTTCTTACGAACGAGGCTGTTTTTGTCGCAATCATTGCATCTTTTATCAGCAGCGTACTCGCAAGCTGTGGTCTAGTATTTGTTGATATTGATAAAAATCAATGGCTGATTTAGTCTACAAGTATGTATAAGAACACATTCCTTAAACTGGGCGGATTTGCGACCCACCGTGGGATGTTTCGTGTAAAGGGCCAATAGTTACACGAGTCCGTTAAGTATATAAGAAACTTATACAGGAAGGTTAATAAGGGTACATGTTACCTTAGACCTCCCACTTGGGTGAGGCATCTCAATGTGACCCACCCTCGTGAATGTGATATCCATTGATAAATTCATATAATTAATATAAAAAAAAATTAGTTAAAACAGTTTTGTACATTATTGCTAAAAATATAATATTATAATCTTTATAAGGATAATAAGATTTATAATAAAGAATATATATATCTTTATCAATTACTAATTTAAGGCTTTATCCTAAAATATTATTTTTATCTAATTTTGTCTTATTATTTGCATACTTATTTCAATTAATTTTGTAGGCAGGGCCTAGTTGGGACTAGGCGTCATGATGACGTCACAGGAGGACGTCAACATCAAGGTAAAATATATCGAAGCTCGCACGTAGGGATACGCTTATTAAAGAAGCGCGTATCCGAACTTTGCATAATTAATCAATTTGTGTATACAGGCCTCCCTCCAATAAGGTATCCTCCAGTAAGTTATATCCTTCGGTAGGTTATCAAATTTCGTGTCCACCGAGCTCGTTCTATGGTCACTAAGTTATAAGTAATAAGTTATAAGTTATAGTCAGACAGGGCAATATAACTTTATAAAATAAGTATTTTCTTGTATTTTGGACGCGAAAACCTACTTTAACCACATGTCAAGGGTAATTTAAGTATAGTGCGTTGCGAAAAGCTTAGTTGCAGGTCGCGAGAGAACTTTAGAAGCGGCTTGTGGACCGGGATACATCGAGCACGGAGCAGGTATCATGGAGGAGGTTGGTCTTTTCAATTCTGATGAGTTTGTTTGGGACAGGCGCCACATCTCCACTAATTTTTTCCTCATTTTGTGCCTGGTGAGAGCAAGGACGGTAGGGTAACTAGCGTAGATAGGTATGCATAGAAGAAAGTGATAGCAGAGAAAGTCAAGCATAACACAGAATCATGATTACTAAAAATTCTAGCTTTTACTTTTTCCACAAATTACGCTTTCGCTCATCTCCGGCTAAGAAATATTATTCACTAAGATAGGATTGCAAATGTCCAAAATCGTCATTTGATCCCGGACACGCAGCTGCTCTAACTAGTTTCTCAGCTCCTGCTCCAACTTTGCGACAATTTGAAGGCAAGACACTGGTAAACGCTGTAAATTTACATATAGCTTTCACTATCAGCACAAGAAAAACAAGTTGGCGACGTGTCTCACACCTTTGACCACGGGTCAAAGTAACAAAAAAGCCTAAGACTTGCGTTCTTTTTAGCAATTACAATCGTGGGACTGGAGCCTAGGGAGGAGTGGGAATGTTCTGGTTGCCCAGGGCCACTTTTAAACTTTATGATTCTCTAACATTTGATACACATAAATCGATAAGTTATAATCTCTGCTAAGTCAAGAATACCGTCGTCCACCGTACCCATAAGTTAGCGGAGGGAGATCTGTATTTTGATGCTAGCCAAGTTCAAACAGGCAGTGGTACTTGAACCTGCTGGACAACCGCTGTCCATGGCTTGCAAAGATAGAAACGATCAAGCCTGCTGGCCAACCGTGCATTCACAATATGTAGCAATTAAGCGGCTCTGGTACTTCGTCTCTATTGCCGATGCCACCATAGTCTGAGCGTCTTCGAGTCCTAAGGCTTGTAGTAAAGTCTCCAATCGAGGTTTTCGGGCCATCCCGACCGCAAACCTCCTAATCTGTCAAGATGAGGACTCTAGACACAATTGAAATCGCCAAATAGTACCATCTCTAATTGAAGCCAAGGCCATTCCTGCATTTGACGGAAAAGACGCTCTGTCATTAGAAGCATAGACGTTAACAAGTAAAATAGAGTAGACGACAATGGACATCATTCTTTTTGACCAAAGCTCCGAACGCCACCGCTGGCCCACTTGGTGCTTACGCGGATCAAGCAATATGGCCACCCCCTCGGTTTTCTCGGCACTGACGACGTCAAGTTTGAGCGAGATGAGTTTCATCTTATCTATTCTACACTAGTTGGATACATGACACCCGTCCTCGTCCCAACCTAGCCCTTCGACTAAACCATATGCTCACCACAAATCGATGGTCAAGACTGTAATGGGCAGCACGGAGCTTGCCATCGCCTTTGGTGTGGGTGTCGCTGCTGCAATTGCAGCTCAATATGTGTACGAAATTGCTCTCAAGCAACAAAATGGCAGTTCTTGTACGTCGCAATTAGTCATGACGACGTCCCTTGGAACAAATGCCGCTTCGCAAGAGCTACTGGAGGAGCAGCTGTCTCGAACCGCTTCTTTCTTCGGCCCGGAAGGATTTGCCAAGGTGAAAGACGCATTTGTGGTGATTGTCGGCTTGGGTGGAGTGGGGTCTCATGCTGCGCACATGTTGGCGCGATCGGGTGTCGGTAAATTGCGTCTGATTGATTTTGACTACGTGACGTTATCGTCTTTAAACCGCCATGCGGTGGCTACTCGTGCTGATGTGGGGGTTTCCAAAGTGATTGCTATGAAGCGCCACTTGCGTGATATTGTGCCGGACTGTGAGGTTGAAGGCATGCCGGTTATGTTTGATGCGGACAGTGCGGAGGAGCTACTGGAAGGTGACGAAATTTGTTGCAGTAGCAGCAGTTGAAATGGAGACAAAAAGAACTGACTGGTCGGATGTGCTCAACAGGCAATCCGACGTACGTGCTGGACTGTATCGACGACGTCAAGACCAAGTGTGCACTGCTGGAGGCCGTGACGCGTAAGAATTTGAAGATTATTACGGCAACTGGAGCAGGTGCCAAAGCCGACCCGACGCGTCTCCAGATTGGGACACTCAAGGACGCTGTCCGTACGTTGCAATTTTATCGTAGCGTGTGTTGTCTTGAGTATGTAACACTAATGGTCTTTGTCGGTTGTATGGATCTGATGTAGGTGACCCGCTCGCGACCAAGATCCGATACTTTTTGAAGAAAAAGGGTGTTTCATCGTCGGAGATCACGACCATTTTCTCAAGCGAGAAAAGTGTGTGTAAGCTGCTACCACTGAATGCTGAGCAGGCGCAGAATCCTGAAGAGTTTGGCAACGTGGAGTACTTTCGCATTCGTGTGATCCCGGTGCTCGGTACAATGCCTGCCCTCTTTGGGCAGTCTATGGCAGCCTTTGTGCTTTGCGACCTGGCTGGCAAAAAGATCAACCCGGAAGCGGTCGCACGATTGTCTCGTGACCAGCGCAACAAGTTGTACCAGAAGCTGCAGCAACGCGAGCATTTGCTATTCAACGAAGGCCGTAAGATAGAGCTGGAGAAGGACGAGGTCGAGTTTGTCTACCAGGAAATTTGGCGGGGACGCAGCTCTGTAGGTGGAGTGAAGAATGGTGGTCACGACCGACTTTACTTGGCTCGTTGGCGGACGGACCGACCGCTGTACCCGGACAATATCGTGTATCTGACGTCGAAAGAGCTTGCTATTCTAGACAAGGACGGCGTTATGGGCTTTGACCCCGAAGTTGTTGCTCGCATCGATGCACGGCTAAAGCAGTTTGGTAGCTGGGACGTTCCTCAGTAGAGCCGAATCACCATTAGAAGAATATTCGACGGTGGCGTGAGGGCGATACAAGCATGAGTTAGTTTAAACTTGACACTTACAATCGTATCCGAGACATCCATCCAAGCAGCAAAAAAGCTTAAATTTTGTATGCCCTCGGGTGTTATACCTGTCCATCAAATCTGACATTCTCCTCTGAAGAGCTACGCACAACACTACTACCACCTTATCTACAGCATGGCGACCACGAAAAAAATGGCTCAAAGACTTACGTGCGAGTCATTCAAGCAATGGATTCAGGGTCTTGATGCATTTCTCTTCGATTGCGATGGAGGTACAATGTGTGACGAGTCCCAGTGACAAATGTGACCCCGTCAGCTCTGTACACTAATTACAAAAACTTTTCTGGTAGTGTTGTGGTGCGGAGCTGCCCCGATCAAGGGCGCCGCCAAGACGATCAGCCTCTTGCGATCGCTTAACAAGCGTGTTATGTTTGTGGTAAGGTGCAGCTGAAACTTGTGAGATTCAGGGGGTTCAGGAGATATAAAGGAGATACTGACAAGGTTTTTCCAATGTTGTGTAGACCAACAATGCCACGAATAGCCGTGCTACTTATGTGAAGAAACTTGGTATATACTGCGTCGACGGGTTTATGAATAGGTAGCTTGGACTTACTAAACTATTTGATTTGGTGTAGCATCGCAGGGCATCACTGCTGATGAGGCCGATATCGTCACGTGAGTTGTGTACTGAATGGAGGGTGTCGAGTATATCTTAGCAAATGTGTGCACTGTCAATTGCAGTTCGGCGTGGGCTACGGTGCAGTACATGAAGCAGCATAAGATTGAAGGCAAGGTGTACATGGTGGGTGAGGCCGGTCTTCAGACGGAGTTGGAGCTGGAAGGTTACCAAGTCAGTGGCATGGAGCATAGTGATATCAAGGGCCTTCCGCATGTACCAGATATTGATATGGACACGAAGGCTGTTGTCTGTGGCCTGGACAGGTATAGTAGTGAACATAGGATCATGTCTACTGATATACGTCCAACGAGCTGACCTTGGTGGTGTCAATCGATCGTTGCAACGGTACGTCTTGCAGATACTTCTCATATTACAAAATGGCGTACGCAACGGCATGTGTCCTTCAGATTCCGGGCTGCCACTTCATTGGCACCAATCCGTAAGTTTGTGTTTGAGTAGTCAACTACCTCTTTGACAGTCCGTCTCACGTATGTCTTTGTGTGATGATCGAACAGGGACTCGACATTTCCCACGGATGGAGCCATTATCCCGGGAGGTGGTTCCCTGGTCCGTATGCTGGAATGTGCCATTGGCTAGTGCGTATAAACCTTCTTTGGAATTATTTAGTGCTCCGGTGTTGATTGTATCGTGTTTCGTGCGATGCAGCCCTCCAGAGGCCATCTGTGGTAAGCCATCGCAGGATCTACTTCAGACAATCATTGCCACGTACAAGTTGGATCCCTCACGCACGTGCATGGTATGGCGATCGTGCTTGATAAGTCTTATGTGATCAGTGTGTTGATTTTGCATGTTGTGATGTTTGTTGTCAAATAGGTGGGCGACCGTCTTTCGACGGACATTGAGTTTGGCAACGCTGGTGGTCTGCAAACGTTGTTGGTGCTGACTGGAATCACGCAAGAGTCGGATTTGAGCAAAATTGACAACGCTTTTCATGTACCCGACCACTACGTCGACTCTGTTGATGCGATCAATCAGCTTCAAGCTGAGACGCTGGAGAGCTAGAGATTCTACGTGATGTGTCTTCATTCTAGAAACCATGTCTCTCAGTAGATTACATTATGGACATCAACCTATTGCGACGGCTACACATTTCCTCAAGCTTTCTTCCTTAGTCGTGGAATCGCCCCATTGCTACCACTGTTCACAAACGCATCGAACATTGAAAAACTACCACCTCCCGCGCCAACATTGGCGCCACCTATTGGAACACCAAAACGGTTTGCATTAATAGTCTTCTTCGGCCTAACGGGGGCTGATTTCATACGGCGCTCTTCATATTCATTTGGTGCTGTGTTGCGAGCACTTGCGGCACGAGGAGCTGGTGACGCAGCCCTCAGGTTGACACGAGCTGATGGAACCGCAGGTGAGGTAAGTGGCGTAGGAGTTCGCAAAAATCGTGGCATCGGCGACTTAGCCAACCGCTTCGTGATCTCAAAAAACTGCAGCTTCTTCGTAGGTGTCACATCCCCTTGTACTACAACCCTCGCTCTTTTTCGCGTCAGAGCACGGAGATTTTCTGGCGAGTCGTTATCGCTCATTAGACCACTGCTGTTTAAGCTGATGTTCAAGTCCTCCTCCTCAATCATTTGGTCGGGCTGACGTGCGTCTGCCTCCTCTGTACCACTCGATAACATCTTTCGCATCTCAGCCCGCTTAGCAGCCAGCGTCTTTCCCGCTTCCTGCTTTTCGGTTTTCTTTGTTTTTTTGCTCAGAACTTTCGGTGTGTTCATATCTTGCATCTTGTTCATTTGAGCGAGCAGCTCGACATTTGCTAGCCGTTGCTTGATCGACATCGTCTCAGTCTTTCCATTCTTTATCACCTTCGACGATACGTCGGGCGTCTTTCCCTCTACTTCAGCTGACGACTGTGCATTCTTTAACTTTGTCTTAGTCAGTGCACCTTTCGAAACCGTGTCATTTTCAGTCGTCTTTTTCCGCATACCATTAGTTCTCATAGTAGACTCGTCACTCGTCACACCATTTTTTGGTTTAATTGCAATCGTCGTATCTGCCATGGCTGCCATCAACGTTTTCCCTCCCGATGTATTAACACCGTTTGCTCGCTGGCTGCCCTTTGCAGCCTCCTTTCGACGTTTCAAACGCTTCTTTGGGATTGGAATCGATGGTGCCGGCACCGGTTCAGGTTCGGGGTCATCTTCGTCACATTCATACTGTTTGCCCCGAGCAGCCTCAGCTGCTTTCGCTTGCCGCTTAGCTTCGGCATTTGTAAAGTCGAAATCCACTGGTATACCTCCTCTCTTGTTCGCAAATCTCTTCTGAGGTGTCGACTTCTTCTTCTCCACAGGCACAGGTTTCGGCAAGTCTTGGGCAACTGGTAAAATCAGACTCACCATTGACGGCTCATGATCGATATCGGAATCACTAGCCTTATCAAGTGACAGTAAATCTAACAGACCATCGTCCGGTAGTTCCGAAGGGGAGCTCTCATGTCCACCTAGTTGATCCTCTTTCTCCTCTGTTCCAGCCTCGTCATCCTCTGGCCGTGTTGATGGCAACGTAGTAGGCACGATCCTCTTCGGCTTTGTTTTCTTGACCTGTTTCAACTGCATCTTGGTCTTTGACACCTTCGACTTCGTCTTTGTAGCGGCCTTTTTTCTCGGTAAAGGCCCGTCCTCATCCATCTGCATGTCACTCACTTCCTTCTTCTTCTCTTTCTTTTGCTTCTTCGGTTCAACCCGTTCTTTTTCCCATTGACGGCGTCTCATTTCTTCTTCTCGACGACGTCGCGTCTCTTCCTCTTGACGTTTCTTCTCTTGACGTGCTTCCTTCTTGTGTTTAAATCGACGCAATTGACGATTGTATCGTAGTTCTTCCAGTTCCATCTGATGAGTCAAACGAATATGCTGTCGCATCTTTTGCAGCCGTTGACACCGTAATTCGATACATTTCCACTGTGCACCACACAACAACAACAAAACACTGAAAGGTCAGTGATCACGTAGGATAAAATCGAGTTGATAACAAAAAACACACGTACTTGTAGGTTACAAGCCTCTAAGAAAATCTCCTCGACGTATGGACCACCAATTGGTTCCGCCCTGTGGTCTAAAGACTCCATAAAGACCCGGTCAAGAAGCGAATCGAGAGTGATTGTCAATTTAAACGAGTTTTTTTTTTCAAAATTATGTCCATCCCTGAATTTCAGGTAAACCACATATCACTCTATTCGTGTGCACCACACCTTTGAGCGCTTATCGTTTTTTCATCCTCTATAAGAACCGTCCCTACTCCCTGTCCGATCTGATTCTACAAAACGAGTCAGTCAAGTCGATATGGTCGCAGGGGGGATGACGTGAATTTATTCCAGCTGGCAAAAGCGATCTCCTGTCATGCATGGAATAAAGATCGAAGCAAGTTAGCTATTTGTCCGAATTCAAACGAGATCTGGATCTACTCGGGATGTCACGCACCGGATCCGTCGCAATGGCGTAAAGAGGCTGTGCTCACGGAACACGATATGCTCGTAAGCGGTCTGGATTGGTCACCTGTGCACGACCAATTGGTGTCCTGCTCGCATGATCGTAGTGCATTTGTATGGAAGTATGAAGCTTCTTTTCGTCAATGGAAGCCGTTGCTCGTAGTGTTGCGTGTCACACGTGCCGCTATTAACGTCAAGTGGAGTCCAGATGGTAAACTCCTGTAGAAAGATGGGGATTTTATGGGGTTTATACAATGCAATTGATTGCAATTTTATGCTCTTATAGGGAAAAAGTTTGCCGTCAGTAGTGGTGCCAAGTGTGTGTCGGTGTGCTACTACCAGGCAGCAGAGAATTGGTGGGTTAGCAAGATCATTAAGAAGCACAAGTCCACGTACGTACATGTCGCTTTAATTTGGTGTTAGAGTTAAGACAGAAGCATAAGTATTGTGTGATTTGTACAGGGTGACGGACTTGGACTGGCATTCCAACAGTCAGCTGCTGGTAACTGCTAGCACGGATCTCAAGTGCCGTGTGTTTTCAGCACACATTAAAGACGTTGATGGACCACCTGATGCAGGTCCTTTTGAAACAATGCCGCCATTTGGTGAGCCACTGGCTGAGTTTGACAATGCGAGTGCTTGGGTCAACGCTGTGGCGTGGTCTCCGAAGGGTGATTGCTTGGCATTTGCTAGTCAAGGATCTTCCATTCACATCGTCCATTTTGGTGCCCCTGGCGAGTATCCGACGATTCAGGTACTGTTAAATGTGTTGGGAAAGGCATTGATGTGGTACTTACGCGTGTATGCTGCAATGAAATGATTCAGTCGATTCGATTTTCTCACCGACCGCTCATGCGCATCATGTTCCTGTCGAACTCCGCTATCGTTGGCGTCGGTCACGATTTCAACCCGATGCTGTTTTCTCAGGCTGCCAACAATTTCTGGTACAAGATAGGTTTGGTAAAACGTGTAATGCGCTTTTCACAATTAAGTGATGACTTTTTTTATCTAGGTCGTTCTCTGAGTTTGTGGACAAGAAACCTACTGAAGCTGCTGTGAAGATAAATTTGGGCGGTTTTAGCGCAGGTAAACTCACGCCATGTGGTGCTGCAGAAATGGAGGAGATGCTGATTTTTGGTGTGTATTTGGTGACTCTCAGCTCGAAGCCTTTTTGAAAGCAAAGTAATGCGAGGACAGTCATCTGATGCTACTCAGCTCGACAAGGATATGTTGTGGATGTACGTTGATGCAAACACAATATGCCGATGGCATACGATTGCGTTTTGATTTCTGACCGCTAATCATTCTCTCATTTCAGGAAACACGAAAGCAACATTACGTGCATCCAGCCATACGCTCAGTCTGCCTCCGGTGGCGTCACGGAATTCTCCACCTCAGGTAATGGCTTGCTGTATTCATGCTCAGACAATGTCATTTAGTTACTTTTGTTCTATGCATTTACGTGCTAGCACTCGATGGCCGCGTCGTTTTATGGAAGTTGAAAAGCTTGAACGTGGAATTGAGCAAGCTGCATCTGTAAAGACAAGTCTTCGCTTTCACTGACAACGTAAAAGACTGCAAATTGCCTGTAGCCACAAAGAGCAAAAAGTTAAAGCACACATAGGTGTCTTCAACGATACACTAGGAAACGAGCTTGATACCTAAAATCGGATAAGATGAAAAGGCAAACATTTCAACTAACCTCGGAATGGCTCTAGACTATATCTCTCTACTGATTCGCTCCCGCTTCTTCGTATTTGACAACATTTAAGCGTACAACCGCTTTAGCCGTCTGTACTCCTGACGATACTGGTTTTCGACCACTGAAGCTTGGCGAAAGTCTTTCCACTCAGGAAACTCGGTGAGCAGCACCTTAGGGTCGTATGACAGCAATAGTTGAATACCCTGGCTAACATCGTTAAGCGTACGGGCGAGGTCGATGTGGTCTGGGTTCAGATACGTCCGCTGTAGCTCGAGTAGTTCATAGCTGCTACGTAAAAATAGGATTGAGTATTCACACACTCGCTCAGTCTTTGCACACAAAAGCAGGTCGCACGAGTCCGCTACCAACTTGTGGATGCGCATGAATACCAAGTGATCGTGCGCTGCAATTTCCAACGCATCAGAGAGCATCTCGAGTGCCACTGACAGTGCAGCAGCAGCAGTTTTCGGGTGTGTCTTGATAGTCTCCTCCGCGCCAACCAGCATCTTCTCTAAGTCCTGCATACTCGGCTTCGTGCCATCAATACTTTCTGCAGCACTCGGTGGTGGAGGCATCACGCTATCACCTCGTTGACAGAGCTGGCATTTGCACACAAAGCCAAACTGCTCCCACAGATTTTTCTGTCGATTTTCACGGCTTTGTTCGCGCGGATATAAGTACGAAATCGTTAGCTGTTCCCCTTTGACGATAGGTCGTGCCACCCGCACGTCTGACACTCCACCTTCTGGTCCGGCATCTTCAGGTGTAAACTTGACACAATTCGGATCGCAGTCGTGATTAAACATAGCATTGTACAGAAAAACACCACTGTCGAATGCATTGCACTGCATCGCAAATACATTTTGCAGCACTTGATCATGCGAGAGTGCCAACTCACTGAAGTTTTTGCACAACTCGCTCACTTGTGGGTCGTACTTTTGTCTTCCAGCAGCGAGCAGTTCTTCTGGTAAATCACTAACTTGCTCAGGGTACAGATGACCCAAGTGTTTCATAATTTTTGAATAATCAGGCCGAGATAATATCGATTCCATCGTGGCTAGAAAAAACTCGGGGTCTGACGTATCCACGTGACGCGGCCAAGGGACGTACACGTGCTCCACTAGCACCTTTGTGCCCGGCTTCAAGTCTTTTACCGCCACGTAGCCACGTGATCCTCCAACGTCATTAAAGTTTGTAATCAGGTCAATGGGTCCCACTACCAGTGGCTTCACATCGTTCCAAGGTTCATACAAATTCCGTATGACTTGAACTGCTGCTTCCTGTGTCTCTTTTGTAACGGTAGAAGACGTAGCAGTAGGAGGTATGATACACATAAACTCATGAGGTGTTACAAATGATGTTGCTGCCTCGTGATCACTGTTGTCGTCGTCAAAGAGTCCAAAAGCCGCCTGCAAAGATACACTCGGGTTCGTACTCATGACACCACTGATTGGTCAACATAATACACTCTCATGTACTTGAATGATTGTAACTTACTAACGTTGTGTACTTACAATAAAACGTTTAGTGTGGTCTACACCATACATCGCTTCGTGACCCACATGTTACATGTGACACGCATGTCTTGACAAAGACCTCAATTTTCCAATGCAATTTACGACCAAGACACTTTATTACTAGCGGGAATGGGTCGTCCCTCGTGCTATAAAAGCATGCATCATCATTCCTGACGCCACAAAAAAACAAATCTCGAGATCAGTGCGACTTCCCAAGAGGCACATGTAAAGGCATTTGAGCTCTTGGATCTGTTGCAATTAGCCAAGAGCTCGAACTATTTTTTCATTCTGCTTTTTCATTCGAACCTCCAACATCGCACGACTGACCTTTTTGACGAACATGTCACCTCTTTTCTTGCTCGTGTTGGCTGTAATGTCTTTTGGCTATTCAAAAGCAGCCGAAGGGACCGAGCTGACACCAGTCGTTAATCGTCACTTGCGGTCTGCGTCCTCAAAGCTCGATTGGCGTGATGAAATGCTGAAAAAAGTCAACCAAGTACGTGCTGATCACGGAGTGAGACCGTTGTGCATGAATATAAAATTGCAGAATGCAGCCCAGGTCCACTCTACTGACATGGCTGTCCATAACCTCATGAGTCACACTGGCACGGACGGTTCGCAGCCGCAGAAACGGATTCATGCGGAACATTACGTTGAGTCTACACAAGCTGAAAATGTGGCGTCAGGCCAAAAGTCGATTGACGCAGTGATGGCTTCATGGATGAACTCTCCCAAGCACCGGGCAAATATTCTGTCCCCCCGCTTTACCATGTTTGGGTGTGGCTTTGATGACAAAGATAAGTCCAAATTCCCGTCCTATTGGACGCAGGTCTTTGCAGCTAGCAAATCGGAGAAGTGCTCGTAAGGAAACCTGAGCTTTAGCGAGGAAAGAAGACGGAGTAGATTTCGTATACGTAAGAGTTTTGAATCAACCAAATAAAGCAAACACCATCGTTCTGCAGCACTTGCTGAGTTCCATCTTAGCAATGCCGAGGTAGCCTTTACGCTTGAATCATCATTTTAATATCTCTGAAAGCTACAATAGCTACCGCACAAGCGGCAGATTATCTTTGAAGCAGCTGGGGTAGCGAGTCCAACGTCATTGTCATGCTCGAAGTCTAATAAATAAAATGGACACGTGCCGCTCGAAAAGTTGATTTCAGACGCTGAAGCTCCACAACCCATGCACTTCCAGACTTCCATGGCAGAAATGCAGCAAAACGAGAGGAAGCACCTCTCCAGAGTATGGCCAGACACACACACTATTTCCAGCTCGCCAAATGGGACACTCCCTTCACAAATGAAGCATGTCTCTCGTGATGGTGGCGTATACACTGTAGTGGCATTGTCGGACACTTCAGCAGTCTGGTCCTCACCATCCGCATTTGCTTTTGCTTTGATATAGGCTATCCATGAACTGACGTTTTCCGTCGAGCTCAATTGCTCGTAAATATGCGTAACGAGAGCTTCACTGCGGTGCGTCAGCGGATCCTGAACACTGAGGAAATCGGCCATCGTCAATGCACTCTTCCTCTCAGAAAATGAACGTGTAACATAGTCTCGAAGCGCCTTGTTGGCCTTTTTCGATGCCCTGACCAGTGCTGTCAAGCACCGCTCTGCCCAGTACACACCCAAGGTGCGCCTTGTCTTTGCCAGTACAGTATTTTGAGCCGCTACTTGATGATCTGCCGGGGTGATTGCACTACGAAGCAATAATGAAGCCTGTAGGAAAAGCGGAATGGGAGGTCTAAGATCGTTTTTCGTGGAGTCAGCATTTCGATAATAGCGCTTCTCAAGCTCCTCACAAAGAGGTAGATACATCGGTTGGCGCGCGAGCAACTCACTGTCGCTCGCCTCACCGTTGGCGCTCCTGATCTTGTTTAGCATACTGGGAATGGCCAAGTCTGTTGCCCCATTGAGCGACATCAGCGCCGCATTGTCGTTATAGCATAACCACACCACATCCATAAAGCTATCCACCGACTCGCCTTCGCTAAGTACGCGGCACACAACGTCTACAAATTGGTCCGAGCTTTTCACCCAAGGTGACGGAATGTACTCGAGTGAGCTCGAGACACGGCTGTACGAAACGTCAGCCTGCGATTTGCGATTGGGCCGGGAAGCTGGAGGAATGATGAACACGCACGCCAACTGGGCGGAGCTGGGCGACATTGCCAAACCGAACACGGGGTATTTGCTAGTGTCTGATGCAGCAGAAGCAGTACCACTAGAGTTTTTATCCGTTGGATCGATAGAAGTCGCGTCGCTAGAGTATAGCAGTGTTCCTGTGCTCTTCTCCCATACTTTGATCGTACCATCCACTGCAGCGGAATAGATTGTATCTCCAAAGTAATTGATGTCGATTCCAGTCAAGTTGCCATCATGTGCCTTCCACTTCGCGCTTGGCTGTGCTTGCTTCTTCTTCTTCAAGTCCCATACAGAGATCGTTGACCCTGATGCGACAACCAAATCATTTGTTGGGCTGTTTGAGTACGTCCAACGGCTTCCCATACACAGACCGAAGACTGGTTGAGAGTGCGGCGCCAAGATAACGCGATCTACAGCCAACTCTTGGGGCAAACTATCTGTCGTAGGCGCCCTCACCGGAACAGTAACAATCAGAACATGACCTTCCGATGTTCCTAACGCTAACTTAAGGCTTTGTTGTGTTGCATAGGCCGTTCCATGTCGATGCATCTGCTGCCACGTACTCGTAGAAACCCAACCATACTTCTCTGTATCTATCCACGCAGCTGGGATTGACAAAAGAAAAGGCTGCATCACCTTTCCTTTGACGAATGATGGATACGCATATGCCCAAACAGTACTCACTTTACGTCCCGACAGTGCAATAAGCGACGTTATGCTCTGCTTATCTGCCATGACCATAAATGGCGACCAGGCCATTGTCAGTGTCGACATCATAGCACATCTATGGGTATACTCGGCGACCGAGTTCATGGCAAGATGTCCCTCCTCTGGATCTGCCTTCCTCTTCTTGTTCTTCTTCCCTGCTTTTTCTCTACGTGATCCTGCCATGGCCACACTCGGTGGTAGTTGATTACATCTCTCATCATGTGATGAACCGAGTCGAAAGTTTTTGGTCTCGAAAAACTCGAACAAGTTTTCGGAAAACACTGCGACTTCCTTCCAGTCCATGTGAAAGCTGGGAGGAAAATGCAGCGTCACTCTAGACGCCGCTGTAAGTGCCAATAGAGCACAGGAAGAGCTCGGCGCAGAGCCTCTAGGTCCCCACTCTGCCGCAATGAACGTCTTGCCTGCATTCTTGGATAGTGACAATTCCTTGGGATTGTGTTGATGCCGGTCGCTCTCATTGAGCAAAAAATACGAAGCGCTAGCTCGAGGTAGTCCGGCATTAAGTGATTCCATTACTGGTGGAATTGCTACTGGAAGGTGCTCATTTCTTGTGTCTTCTGGAAGAAAAACAAAGTCTTTTGAGACAGCAGGACCTTTTGGCTGGAACATTTCGAGCTCGCGACTCCGAAAAGTAGCGACGAGAATGCTCGCGTCGGACACGACAGCAAGACGACCATCTTCTGACCATGCAATCCCACCCGGAACTAATGGACTGCCAGGAATGCGCTCGCGAGACTCGACATCGAGAGGTAGTAGAGCCACTTGATCAGTGGCCATAGTAAAGTGACTTGGAATTAGGAATATGCTTAGATTATTAGTAATGTGGTTGGTGTACAAAACGTTTCGAGTTGAGAGGCTATTCAAAGGCTTTGTCGGTGTCGCTTTTGTGCTTTTTGTCCGTGTCGCTGTTACTGGTGCTGACCAAAGTGCTGTTTTTTTCGTCTTTTGGCCCGCTTTTGAATGCTACGTCGTTGTTGCTGTCGCTGCTGTCTTTGGAAAAGGACAGCGCTGTACGTTATTGGCAGTTTTGTCGTCATCACTCTCGCTGTCGCTCACAAAATCCACATGAGCTTCGTCTTTTCGAATTTGGGACTCAACGCCACTGTCACTATTGCTGTCGTCTTCCGAAAGTGATTGCACCTTGCTTGCAGAATCGCCCTCATCACTCTCGCTGTGGCTGCCACTCTCGTTATCACTAGCACTGTCAGGAAGCTTAGAAAACTTCAGCTCGACTTTATCATCGCCTCCAGATAATTGCGCATCGAAGTCGCTATCGCTGGCTTCGGATTTCACACGCTTGGCTTCGTCATTGTCAATGTCGACATCAGAGACTTTCCGCTCAGTAGTTTCGCCATCATTACCTTCACTCGACTTCAGGTCAACGTCATCATCACTGTCGGCTTTGAAGACTTTTCGCTCTTGCGCAGCTTCGAAGCCGTCACCTTCAAACACTTTCATTTCAATGTCTTCATCCATTTTACAGATCTTCTGCCCGCTAGCACAATTTCCGTCAATAGATGCATCTACATTGTCTTCATCATCTTCATCGCCACTCAGCTCAATGCACATTTCCTGGTCGCGTTTCGTGTCAACCAGAACAAATTCCAGCTCAACATCTACTTTGTCGCCAAGACTAAACGGATGCAGTATCCGAGCGTCTTCCCGATCCGTAGACGTCTGCAAAGAGCACCAGTAACCAGCACAAAAAAGTTAGCCACAGGACCAGTCAGACGACCCCTCTTCGTCTCGACACGTACCAGCCAGTTCCTACCGCGTTCAACCGACGGACATCCGTCATGAAAGCCACGACTCGAAGCAGGGTACTTCATCGTCGCAAAGTAGTGTTCCATTGCAATATGATACTGCCGTTTCATCTCCTTCCACCCATTTCTCTTCACTAGCTCATATGCTGTCTTGAACACATTAAAGGGTCGTACAAAAAGGTCCTGACTTTCTTCCCGCAATCTCTCCATTAAAGTTCTGGCCTCTTCATCCAGTTCATCCATAGACTTCCACGGCGTCGGTGGGCGACTTGGAATCAAAAATTGCTGTCCCGCATAGACTGTGGACGGTGGTAAAGCCAGCATACCCTGCTGTTGATGGTACAACTCGTTCACGATGCGATTAGCTCTCGGATCGAGTCCTCCGTGAACGTCCAGCTGATGTTCATAGAGATCTATAAAGCTCACGAATGTAATTCTACAGTTCGTGTTCGTACAGCAATATGGTTGTGATGTAGAGCTCCAGCGACGTATATGCTGGCAGGAAAAGCACAAACAGACGCTGCTCTGATTCTGCATCACGTGAAATTCTTCATTCAAAGAATCGCTCAGACTCTGTGCCTTCTCCCGAAATGAAGTGACTGGTAGCCCAAGAGATGAACGTAGACGCCACATTTTCTGTAGACGCTTCATCGTGATGGAGACGAAGGGTTTGCGGCCCTCGCGCTTTAATAGGCTTCGGTAGGTGGCAATACGGGCTCTTTCCTTACGGAACCGGCGTGTTTTGAGGCGCAAGAGTGGGATGGGTTTGTTCACTGGAATATCCATAGGCCCTACGATACCAGCTGCGAGATCTGTGGCGCTAGGCTCCGGCATGTTCGAGTCGCTTGGCGTGTACGTGCGTGACGCCTTCATGACTCGTATTAGTAGTGACGAGCAGCTTATGGAGAAACTTGATTGGTGGATATTGGAATGAAATGCATTTTTGACAAATATCCATTATTGACGTCAAATATACGATTGCATTGAGATTTTAATCAATACATCAAAATCCCATTTTTGACAATGTTCGAACGCAGTCCAGAGATGGAGAAATCGCTTGGTTAGGATGATAATGGCTGATGTTTTTATTGGCCTTAGGTAGACTCAATTGTGATGCTTAATGTGTTTTGCTGTGTGCAGAGAAGTTCAAGGAAGCTGTCAAGCACATGCTGGTGGGTGCCAGCATGGCTGGCGCTACAGGAGCTACAGTAGGCGCAGTATTGGCGGCGTTACGCAATGAGAATATTAAATTTTATGCTGCATCCATGGGCTCGAATTTTTTCTTACTTTCTTCGACATACATCGGTAAGAAGAAGAAAGAGAATAAGTGGTAGTAGTTGCTAAGCAGCAGGGGGACGATTTGTAACATGTCAGTGTGTCGTGTCCTGAGCAGCTTTTGAGGAGGTGATCACGGACAAACGAGGTGGAAAGAAGGATTGGATTACTGGTGCTACCGCTGGCACAATTACTGGTGGATTTTACGCCGGTTTGATCGGTAAGGCTGACAACGGCTGCCAACATGACGCAATCATTGCTTTACTGACAGAAGTGGTGGGTATTTGCTTGACGTTTAGGCGGTCGGTTTCGTGGTATACAGGGTGCCGTTGCCGGCGCTGCAGTAGGATCCGCCGTCATTTTTGGTCGCGAGAAGTTTTCTAAGTGGCGCTTGAGTAAGGGCGTGAAACGGTACGAGGCCAAGTACGGCAAGGCTCCTGCTGTATATCACCCGACCACTGCTGTGCTTGTGGAGAGCCAAGGTCCTCCAAGAGAGCTGGCGTTTCCATCTTTATTGCCACAGAGCATCAAGATATCGGAAAAGGAGATTGAACGCCGTATTGTAGCCCGTATGGATGAACTGCGGAAGGAATTGCAAGAAGAAAAAGGAGAAGAAGCAGTCGAGGACAAAACGCACAAGAAGATGAATGTATCCAAAGACACGGCAAAATGAAGTAGAATTCTGCAATAATGGCAATAACTCGTAAACAAACAATAATTGCCGGTCCAAAAAAATCGTAGTTGTCACTCTAAAACATTATCTTTCAATTTAATCCAATCAAATCGATTTGACTCATCAATGTCTCTCCGCCAGTCAATTCCTTAGCAAATACCACCTTATGAACCACTTGCAAACTAGCATTCCTCCCAAGACTTTACCAAGATGCCCCGTCAACTTTTGGCTACTCGTTTCGTTACCATCCCTGATGATGTCAAAGTCGTCCTTGATGGCCGTAAGGTCACCGTCAGCGGCAAGCGTGGTGAATTGACCCGTGACTTCCGTCACTTGACGCTTGACATGCGTCGTGTCAACAAGGAGCAGATCCGCGTGGACCTGTGGTTCGGCAACCGTAAGCAGCTTGCTTGCGTCCGTACGGTTTGCTCGTTGATTGAGAACATGATCACGGGTGTCCGTGTCGGTTACCTATACAAGATGCGCTTCGTGTACGCCCATTTTCCCATCAATGTGACGTTTGACAACAACGTCGTGGAGATCCGCAACTTTCTGGGTGAAAAGCGTGTGCGTCGCGTGGCTTTATCCGAGGGTGTCCAGTACGTGCGCACGGGTGATGTGAAGGACCAGATTGAACTGAGCGGCATTGATCTTCAGAAGGTCTCACAGGATGCTGCCAACATCACGCAGGCCTGCTTGGTCCGTCGCAAGGATATCCGTAAGTTCCTTGATGGTATCTACGTGTCCGAGAAGACCAATATCGAGATTGAAGAGAACTAAGCTACTTAGTGTAAAGTCACTCTTATCATGGGGTCCATCGCTGCTAGGAGAGAGCCCGTAACCGGTACTAACAAAAATAGAACCGAGCCGTGCTTCTTTGCCGTCACTGGGTTGATTGCAGCACTTTTGCTGCTTTCTTCTGTCCGGGCGGATTTTGTGTTGCGCATTGCGAAGATGTGGGTTGGCTGCTTGTTGTACGCACGGCAAGCATTCAACTCTATTTGGTCTGCGGTTAGCATGAAATCCACCTTTGAAGTCTGCCCTTATCTCATACTGCTGTATTGGGTCTGTACTTGAAACTTCGTTACGTCAAACATCATTCTGGAATAGTACATTACCAGTAGTGTTCAATGTCTGGTGTTAACCGTCTGGGAAACGTGTTAGCAAAGTACTGCTTACTACATTGGCTAGCTTTATCGGTAATTGCAACTCTATTTGCCACCACTACAGTACTGACATTGCCCACTCAAAATCTGTCGCCGAAGCCAGATCATGTGATCGCTCAAAACAAGTCAAAAGGGTTAGCTGAAGAGGCTGACGTCTGGGATGGAGCTGGACCTGGCGCACCCGCAAAGTCGGCGAACCTACGTGGCAATACGAAAGGCATTAGACTATCAATTAACAGATCCATAGCTTGGCAGCATTTCAGGGACTTACGCATTAGGATCTGCAAACGTGGTAGTATTCTGCTGAGGAAGCGAGACCGCCGCTCGAGCTTGTGGCCTAGTAGATAAAAATCACATTTAGTGCTCAGACCAAGCTTTTGGTTGCAATCATGGTACATACTGTGCGTAGGAGATGGATCCAGAGGATGTTGGGGCGTTCCCAAATGAGTTAATTGTCCCGGGTTGGTTTGCAGGTGCAAAAGGTGCAAAAGAAGCTCCCCCACCTGAACCTGTGTGGGTTGTAGTAGTGTTGCTCGAGCCACCAAATCCTAGGTTGCCGATGCTGAGTGAGGCAAAAGGGTCGTTGATCGAAGACGCTGATGCCGGGGTCTAAACACCAAGAAAACACACAAGTAGAAAGTACACGTTAACGTCAAATGTAGTCTCATCACAAGCTGTAACTGCCTGCCTACCTTTACTGTGATCGGTGCAGGAGGAGCGCCTCCAGCTGGGCGAGGTGGAAACTGCACGGCGTACTGATGTCCAGTCAAGTGCGTCGGCTGCTGCTGCCCAGGAAATCCTTGTTGTTGTCCATACCATTGCTGCTGGTTTTGTGGTGGTTGTCCTTGGACAAATGATTGCATTGACTGCTGCTGCATTTGATGACCAAAGGCATTCTGGAGCTGTTGCTGCTGTGAAAACCCACCAAACGGTTGACTAGTTGCACCAGTGGCAGGATAGTATTGCGGCTGCTGAGCTGCAGGATGGTATTGTGGCTGCTGAGCTGTAGGAAACCCGCTGTTGTTAATTGTAGCACTTGCAAACCCGAACGGACCCTTCATCGCAGCTTGCTGCTGGCTGACACTGTTGCCCCCTGGGAAGCCTGTTGATGGACCAAAGTCGGGTGTAGGAGCTGCACTGCCAAGCGTCGATGCAGCACTATTGCTTTGCTGCATACCATCAAAAGCCGCAAATGGATCAGCGGAGGCAGCAGCAGAAACAGGTTTCTCAGCTGCGGTGGCAAATGGATCCAACACCGGGTTGGCCGAACTTGTTCTTGACGAGTGGGTAAAATCTTTGAAGGCGTCTTCACCTCCACCAAATGCATCAAATACGTTGCTGCTCGCCGTGGATGCAGGCGATTGGGCGCTGAGCGCATCAAACGCCGGAGGTGATGATACTTTCGGAGTGCTGAATGCATCAAAAGGCGAAACATTCTGATGGGCTGGTACTGGTGTTGACGGAACTGCGGCTGCCATGTTGCTAAAGGGATCAAGTAATGCCGAAGTGGGGCGACTTTCTGCGTGACTGGATGGTGTTGGGGCATCAAAATTATACGAAGATGAGGCTACCGGAGCTGGGTGGCTTGATTGTTCGGTCGTTGGTGCTGGAGCATCAAACTCAAACGGATTGTCACCCTGCTTCGGCGCACTAAGACCCATGAGATTCTCCGTAGCGGGTATCGCACTAACACTGGACGCAGAAAAGTCGGATCCAGGTGGTGGCGCAATCTTGAACGAGGCAAACTTCGGCGCTGGCAAGGGTGGAGTCGTCTTTGATGTTATCTTTTGAGCTGCACTTGATCCTTTAAAATTACCAAAATCTGTGTAATCTTCAGTAGCTTTTTTCGCAGGGGCTGAACTACTGAAGGTATCGAAATCGCCAAACGACTGCACTGTAGCTGCCGTTCTACTACTGCCTTCGAAATTGGAAAAGTCACCAAACCCGCTTTCAGTGGTAGACTTGGCAGGTTTCGAACTGGACGAAAATAAGTCATCATCACTGTTACTTTTCTTCTCTTTCTTCTTGCTGCTTTTCTACATATAGCGAGTAAGTCGCTCGCAATGTCAACAAACGCAACAGGTATTTGACGCCCAAAGTCGTACTAAAGAAACTCACCGATTTTCGCTCACGTTCTTGATCCTTAGCACGGCGTGGAGACTCGTACACCCACCTATTTTCATCAACACATCAATGAACAGACCGGCTGCTAGGAAAAATCACACACATTGACGTCGTACTTGCGGTCAATGTACGTCAAACGAATAAAGTTGCGCGTGCGCTCGCCGTCGTTGCCTCCACTTGGACGAAAGCTCGGGTCGTGCTTGCTCCTCCAGTACTTTTGAGCTGCCTATCAACAATGCAACACTTCATCAGCAAAACTTTCACTCCCTATCTCTAAAAAAATCTTCCAACCTCATTCCCGCCGTGGTTTATCATGGTCTTGACTTCACTCTCCGTGAACTTGGACATGGAAATGGATTTGACTCGATGTGCAAATTCTCGACTGTAATCATTACACCGACATTACACAATTAATAATAGCAGGAACACAAGTTACAAAGCTACTAGTGCTACTTCATTATACTCACTGGATGCCACTGCAAGCAGTACAGACGAATGTATTAAAATCGAGACAGATATATTGCGGCATCTAAACATCCAGGACAATGTGTTAGCATCATATACACAGAAAAGGAAGATAGCCATTTGCACAAAAGACCATTTCATTGCAATCGAAACATCGCTTGTTGGGCTGGTTAGCACGCTGATAGTCACGCAATTTCCGGATCAACCGCTCCTCCTGGAGCTTCTCGCTTGGCAATAGATTGGCCATGATGAGACTGTAATTGGAAGTGGCTTAAGGCAATTTACGGGGGGCACAAGAGACAGGTAGAGCAGATGCCCACAGCTTGGAGTTACAGCAGGAATATGTGGTTTGGTTTATACAGATGGTTTCTATGGTTGATGGGTTGTCAGGATTTTGTATGGTTGTATTGTATGAAAATCAAACAGTTGTATATAAGAGGTTATTTGGTTTGACGAGAGTGCAAAATTGACAGATTAAAATGGCAACCCGTTTGTTAAAGAAAAATTGCTAGTTTATGTGCGAATCACCATTGCGTCAGGGCACTGTACATGGTCCTCGTCAACTTCTCCAGCCGGTGCTTAAGCAGACAATTCACCAACTTCCTGTTCTCGAGGTCTGTGATTGGCTGGGCGTCGCCGACGAGCATGTTTTGTCGCAAGCGCCAAACGTGCAGCCTGATCGATGCCGCAACGACGTCCGGATGCAGGTTCTCTAGGATGATGGAAAGGACCTGACTCAAGCCGTTGCGCATGACGAAAGTGATTTTTTCAAACAGCGAGTCCGGCCGATCGTTAGTGTCACGTAAAGTGCATCCCGCAGCATCGAAAGCGTGTGGTGGAGTGGGTTTTCAAAATTGTATGATGAGACCCCAAACTACTCACTGTGCCGGACTGCTGACTGTTGGAGGGGGTACCCCGATGCCGCGTATGGACCTTCTCTCACCTTTTGTACCCTTTTGCTGGCGAATTGCACTCTTCCAAAGACTTGGGTGAAGTTGTAGATGTCTGCCTTATAAGAGGTAGACCTGGGTAGCCTCGAGTGGATATGCTTCACTAGGTGAGCCAGTAGGTGGCCACTCGGTCTACCTTGTCGAGAGTGGGCTTCGAACCAAATTCTTCAGGGAGCTTGTCGTACCTGGCCTTTCCTTGTTGTTCTAGGGGTATAAATCACCTGACCTTTACTTTGCTCCCGGACCGTGAGGCAAGGGAGACCGCTTCTGATAGCGGGTCTTGGGGGGGGGTTGCTACTCGAACGAGCTGACAGATCAAATATATTCTAGAGTTGTATTCGCACGTGAACTTAACCACGCAACTGTCTTCAACGGGGGGCCAAAATTTATTCCTTCTTGGATCAGGTAAGTAGTTCAAAGAAAGTTCTTTTAGGATGACGAAGTCGTGACAGGTAGATCGCAAATTAGTACAGTAGAGCAAAAATTGGTGCGCTCAAGATTTCTGCTTATGCGAAAGGGTAAGATGGCGATGCGCGACTACGTGCAGATGGCTAGGCATCTGGCGTCGTGTATTATCACGCATCCTATGGACATGTACACGCAGGTGAATGTATTTTATGATGGTATGCGTGTAGAGCAGACCCACTTATCGCTCGAGCGCGCGGAGCCTGCAACATTGGAGAAGGCATTTGCTATTGCCCTCCGTGAGGACTTTAGGGTCATAAAGTCCTATGATTAACCCTTGGTAGTATAGTAGAGTAGTATTTAATATAGTCCTATCCATTTAGCTCCTTTACTCTATCCTTGTCTGAATCCCTAATTCCGTATGTCGACTGGTCTAATCCTTGTGTCAACTGGTCTGATCCTTGTGTTGACTGGTCGAGAGTGGCCGGACCAGGTCTACCGAATAGGGACCGGTTCTACCTATGAGGGACCGCATATACCGAAGAGGGACCGAGGCCTACCGAAAAGGGACCGGATCTACCGAAGAAAGACCGGGTCTACCGAAGAGGGACCGGGTCTACCGAAAACGGGGCGGGTCTACTGAAGAGGGGCCGGGGTCTACCGAATAGAGACCGGGGTTCACTGAAGATAGACCGCGTCTATAGAAGAGGGATCAGGACTACCGATTAGGGACCCGGGTCTACCTATGAGAGACCAGGGTCTACCGATGAGGGACCGAGTTTTCTGACGAGGGACCTAGGTCGTCCGACGAGAGTCCAGGTCTACCAATTAGGGACCCAGGTCTACAAATGAGAGGAAAGCGGTCGACTCCTTTTGGTATTGTTTACCAGTTCCCTGGTAATGATCTCTCCTATGTTGGTCCTTGACATTCTCAGCCAACGGTCGCTTCACTACAAGGTCCCCTTTCTTTCTGTTCCCTTCTTTCCTGGTGCGTGTTCCCTTTTCCCTGGTGCTCGGTCCCTTGTCCCTTCAAAACAACTACCACCTCAATTCTCCACATTGTGAAAAAGCACTTCACCGCACGAGCACGATGTTCCCGAGCCAGACGATTACATCGCGACCGTAGATTTACAATCTCTTAAGCTGCGGCGAAATCCCCTGAAACTTCCCGTCGGCGTAAACGTTGCGCACTGTAAATTGCAGCTTCCACTTGCCGCCGTGCGGCACGCTTCTCTTCCTTCTCCTGAACACGCTGTCCAGCACTTTGTTTTCCGGATAGAGAATTTGGACGCGAACGCGGACTTATCATCTGGAAAGGAGCACGACGGACGAACTGAGCTTCTCACGTGAATGTAATATAGCTAATCAAAATGCAGAAATAGGAGCACGACGTAAGGACGGACAGCATTTTGTTGTATCATATAGACAGGTTTTTCTTGCAGTAATTGTTTTTGTAAAGAAACTATCAGTAGTGCTTCCTTTGCAAATATGCACGGTAATGAAATGCTTCATCTTCATTTTTAGTAATAAATCCATTTCATGTTCCATCGCCACATATGCTACTTCTTCATTTTACAAATTATTTTCATCATAACCGCATTCATCAAAAATGCGTGTGACCTTTGAAGTGTTTCTCCTCGGCGGTATGTGCTTCTGTAACGTCATCAATACTGGGGATAGCGTTAAAGTGAAGAATCGACTAATCGGTGCCAGTAACAACCTCATCAGCAGTGATATCGCCACCCGTCGCAACTTCAAGGGTGATAAGAAGAATGTTGCAGTCCAAGGCAACATGAAGAAAGAGCGCAAAATTGTTGGATATATAAAGAGCTTTATCTCAATGCTAGCATTCAGCAAACCGGTCAAGAAATTGTCGTGTAACGGGTGAGTCCGTTACATTATATTGGCACTAATATTAAGTGCCAATAAGAATATTATTATTAATAAAAAGATTTGACAATATTATCTTCTTTTGTGATAATGTCCCTGTGTAGGAGGGGCTGACCAACAAAATTTTCATTTCGGAGCTACACAGCTCTTTAGTCAGAGGAAGACTTTGAAGGCTAAACGCCTATTAGTTTAAAAGAACTAATTTAAGTTACGGCTAAAAGCCACGTAAATCTACGAATGTTAAAAATGACTATAAGTTCACCCGTTCTAAGATACTAGGAGAGACTTCTAGTCTACAAGCAATAAGCTAAAGGATTCAGAGAACCAACGCTCAGAGTGCAAGAACAAGCTAACAGCTTTGAGATTCAATGAACTAACGCAAGAAGTGCACAAGAGGAACAAGCCAATACCGGCTTTATCTCTACGACTCAAAATGAGAAGTAATTTTATTTAAGGAGCCACTAAGGCCACATACGTTAATACTACGGCCGCAGACAAAATTACTACGGCCACAGACAATAATCCTAGCCAATCACAGCTCAAGTGAATGAATTGTTTGCAATATATTATGATTATCATTGGTCGATATTAGAATCTCGTTGGTGTAATACATTTTTTACTGGGCTCATCGCATATTTGTACATTTTAGCACTTACAGCAAACATGGACATGAAGCAGCAATACAAGCAACTAATCACGCGTAAGATAATGCGAGAACATATGTGTTAGAAGCTATTGTTGTTGACAGGTCGTGAAGGTCAAGGGCAATACCCTGTCACGCGGTAAGTAACAACCGTACCTGATTGATTAAACAGACTTGACGTGCTGACAGATGGGACGAGGCGACGATATCGCCACGTCGGACCATCAGGATGTTGCGACATATGGGACGAGGCGACGAGATTATCACATCGTCTTGTCGATGTCGTAACAGATGGGACGGAGCGGGATAGACGTGAACTATAGATGGTATAGTTGCAGTCGGTTTCGCATGCATGTGTAGGTATTAACGAACGAGGAAAGTTAATGCTTAATATATATCACTTTTACTTCTACCTCTACGTGCACAAGTGCACCACTACTTCACTTCACTCTTACAGGTTATGAGCCCAAAGAATCGTGACGGCGGCGCAGCTCAAGGAGCCACACCCGCTGTGGTGGTCAATGGTCAGGATCGACCGATGACCACCAACTAGAAGAAAAGTCGGCAGTGCCCGCGGCGGCACTAGACAAGATGCTCGCCATGCTAGGCGATTTGTCGGAGCGGATGGGTAGGATGGAATCCTCCCGACACGGACAAGTCGGTGGCCAACGCAAGGAACCTGCGGAATCGAGCGTCTTTGGTTCGGTTCTCGGTTCAGGGGCCGGTATAACACTCCAGGCTTTGGAGCGTACCCCGCCACCTAAGCGATCACCGAACGTCTCGCCGGCCACTTATTTTGGTGCCCGACGACCTGCTTTGGCCGGGGATCACATGGTCGACGCGCCGGCCCAGGCCAATGTCAATCACGGAATGGCTCAAGGACTTGAGCTTGGAATTCATGGGCATGCCATGCCCGCGGGAGCATACCCGGGAATGCAGATGCCAGGTCCTGTGTTACACCAACCTGGGCAAGTACACCAGGGTGTACCGGATGGCCGTCAAAGGAAGCTGGCTTTGCAGCCTTTCGACGGAAAGGAGCTCTACCTCGGACTTGGTAGTGGCTTCGTTGAATGGGGGAAAGAATTTGTTCGGCAGGTTGCCTTTTCGGAACGCGCCTGTGGCTTTGCATGGCCTGAGGACATTAAGGTTGATGTACTCGGCCAACACCTGGCTGGTACGGCGCAGAAGTACTATCGGCGGCAGGTGGAAACTTGGTGGTCTGAAAGTCCGACCTTGGAGCATGCAATGCAAAGGTTACTCCAGACCTTCAACACCAAGATAACACCTGCCCAAAGCATGAAGCTGTTTACTGCAGCCAAGTCATCTCAGCGTAGCTGGACGGAGCATTTTCTGTACCTG